GGGTCTGGTAGTCGAAGATGCTACAATTCTGAGAGCCTATGGTGCTACTTTGACTGTGACGAAACATACATGTACCTTCAGGACGAACGGAATAGTTAGGCGGTATGTCAGATCGCTCTCGGGATCCTGCGGTTGGTTGGTATGAAGTTACATACTATACAAAATTAGTCGAATGGATTCAGTCGAATGTCGAGCATGCATAACAGGCTTTCCATATACAAGACTTCGAAATCCAAAAACATTTGGTCCTAATGTAACCAAAATCCAAATGTAACCAAAATCGTCATCAAAAGGTACATATTTCGATAAGTCAGTAAAATTTTAATTTAATTTGAAATACATATACGTATGTATGTATTCAGTTCCCTTAAACATTTCAAAATATTTTAATGGTCATAAATGTTTGCTGCAATCTCAATTCAATTAACTTGAAGATATGATTTAATAAAAATGTATTTATTTTGTTTCTCACAAAGATATTCAAATATCTCTATTTAAAAGTTAAATAAAATAAAAATCATTCGAATGTAAAAGAACTTTTTTTGGGTAGTAAAGAAACAACAACAAAAAGAAACCAAAATCTTAGAAGAAGAAAAACGAGCGCAAATAGAAATTGAATAGAAAATGTAATAAAACTTGACGAATATTGAATTCAGTGAGCAAAAAAAAAAATAAATAAAATAAAAATGAAATGAAAATAAACTTATGATTTTTGTGCTCGTGTCTGTTTTTAATTTAAGGTAAAATAGAAGGTAGTTTTTTTCTTTTTTACTTGATTTTTTGTATATTCGTGCTTTGCTTGAGATCCTTTGGTTTTAAGTATACTTTTTTTCATCATATTAATTTCATTTCATTTTAACTTTATTCTTGGCTAAAACTGCTTTTACGTTCTTTTGCATTCGGTTACAGTTACAGTTTTTGCTGAAATTTTGTTGAAATCCTTTGGCTTAAACACTTCAATGGCCAACGTTTTGTTGCAATTGTTGGTTTTATTATTGCTACACCTCTAGCTCAGCCGCTTGCCAACGCTGCTGCTGTTTGTTTTTACAACAAGCACGTACAACAGAAAAGTGAAAAAAATATAAAAGATTTCTTTTAATTTTATATTTACAAAGTGTCATTCACTAAGCATATAATACGGTACAACTATATAAACTCAAACACACACACATACATACATATATACACACACAACAGAACGGAAAAGGAAACAAATACATACACTTACAGTGTAGTAAAATCTCTATACTATATTTTCAATTTAAAAGAAAAATCTGTAAAATAAAGTACGAGAGGGTCACAGAAAGACAGCTGCACAGTGGGTTAAAAAAATGTTATATTTTAAAACTAAATCTCGTTATTTTAAGGCCACAAATAGCTGTATATGTATTAGTTCTCAATTCTATAGATTTATTTGTAAAACTGACCCCATTGTGCAATATCAACATTGACAGCGACATCATCACTCACACTTTCACAAATACATTTAGTCCTAGATGACAGAGTATTAAAGAACTTTGTAGGTTTTTTTGTCGCTTCGTTTTGTTTCCTTCATTCTCTCTCTCTTCTTGTGATTGGTGTCGCAAATCCTTTTAGAAGCATTTAAAGGTAAAACTGCAGTGTCAAAAACTGCCCTACAACAGCAACAAAAATTAAATGATATTTTGAGCGGTGAGAAGCATTAGTAAAGAAACTGAAACATTTAAGAAACATTTTACTTTTTCAAGTAGTTTTTGTTCCGAATAAAAAAAAATTAAAAACCAAATTGACAGTTTTTGTAGGTTGTTCTAATTTCATTTCATATTGTCTTTTATCTTCAGTGTTTCATCAAAAAATATTATTAAATTTTTGTCGTTATGTTCAGTCAGTAACTAAAAGGAATTCATTTTTAAACACTTGACTTTAGAAGAAAGTTTTTGGTAAGTTGACCCAAACTTATGATTCCTTGCCAACACTGTCTGTCATTGTCGTTTTATACAAAAGGTGCGGCATGAAGTCCATTTTAAACATTTGCCTTAATTTTTTGTTGTTGTGCTTTTTAATTTTTTCTTGCTTTTTGCCGCCATCCTGCCCAACAGTTTTTTGTTTGTTTTTAATTAATTGCACGCGTTTGTTTAGCCAGTTATTTGCTAAAGTTTAACAACAGGATTTCAGCTTGTTTTGTTTGCAGGATTTCAGTAGAAAATTGAAATTTGATTTTGTTTTTCTTGTTCTTGTTCTATGGCGTTTAACTTTATTTGCTAAATTTAACTGGATGGCATCTGCGTGTCTAGTACTCGTATAAAATATTTAAGTTTTACATTCTTAAGTTTTATATTCTTTAAATGAAGTTAATGGGTTTATAAATATGTAAGAAATATTAAGATAAGATAAGATTAGATAATTTAATTGTTGTGTTATAAGGGGTGTTTAAGTTCAAGCACACCTTAATGGTTTAATTTGTTAAACTTTAACTACCGGTTCACTAGGTTTAGGTTAGGTTAGAAAATACACCTAGACAGCTATTGCGCCTGTTATATCCGGTTGATAGAAGAATGTATGCTATAGAAAATTGTACAAAGTACACCTAAAAAACTTCGAGTCCCTTTTGAGCTCCTTTACATGGAACATATTGGTTAAAATCCCTTACGTATATATAAAGAAACTAGCTATAGCTTGCTACCCTCTCTAACTCTAACTACTCCAATTTGCTTTGCTACCCTCTCTAACTCTAACTACTCCAATTTCTCACATATACTAATTTTTATATTTAATTCCTATGGGAGGTGTTAAACCCCTTTCCGCCAAATTGTTACCCAAATGTTAGAGTTCTTCGTAAAGAATTTAAGATTCTAGCTCTAATAGTTTACCAGATATACGAATTTTTGAACTTAATTCATATGGCAGGTGACAGACTCCCCACTAAAAGTCCCGCAATTTTTCTCCCAAATGTTCAAATGGCTGTTAAAATTCTTCACACAACATTTGAAGCTTCTAGCTCCAATAGTTTCCTAGATAAAAGAATTTTTTAAATTAATTTAAATGGTAAGTACCACGCCCCTAAAATCTAGTCTACCAATTTATTACTCAAATGTTCACATGGATGTTACAGTAGTTCGTGCAAAATTTTAAAATTTTAGCTCTAATAGTTTCTTAGATATACATTTTTTTGTATTTAATCCGTATGGTATGTGCCAAAACTCCCTTATGAAAGTCCGACCATTTTTCTCTTAAATATACTCATGGATGCTAAAGGTCTTTGTGCAAAATTTTAAGATTTCATCTACAATAGTTTGCCAGATAAATGAATTTAAGTTTTTAAATCATATTGGAGTCCCCCCCCCCCCCCCTATTTCTAGTCCGCCCATTTTTTGTCCAAAAACATTCATGTTAATACTAAAAAAATCAGGACTCTAGCTGTTGTATTGATTCAGATATACTAATTTAATATCTTCTTTATATGGCCCACTATAGCTAGGCTACCCCACGTATTCATATTCATACTCATGTCCATACAAAATTTGAAGACTGTAGCTCTTGCAGTTTCTGAGATATGAAAGTTATTACTTTGTATGTGGGCGTGGCAAGTAGCCCACTTAAAATTTTGAAGTAAAAAGTAGCCTATAGTTTATTTCAGACATCTTCTTGGTATTATTAAAAACCCGTAGAAAAGAGGTGCTACCAATACCTCTAGTCTGCTGAGACTATCAAATGTATCCTCAGTCTTTCCTTGGAATTATTTGACATGGGGTCGAACCAGATAACTACATAATCTGGTACCAAGGGAGCCACTGGCCCAAGGGTCAGAGTTTAGGACTTTGTCTTGTCCCACTTATTAGATAGGTCACTTTCGGGGTGCACTAGTAGCTGTGGTTCAAACAGACACAGCACTATCGGGAAGAGAATGTTGGTTAAAAGACGAATGCACGGTAAAGTTGATAACTTCGGTACTGTTTCCGAGACAACAGATACCACACGGAGGAGTGACCGTGGGACTAAGTATTGGAAATGAGTTGGTGTCAAGGATGGATGCTTTCTCAATGAGTGTATCGGATGAATGTGAAGTGTGCTGGGTTGAATAGTGATGGATGTAAGGTATCTTATACACGGAGGGAAGAAACCGGTATAAAATTACCGAAATTGATACAAACCGTTGTCAAAAGTGAGCTTACTACGTTTGTTAATGTATAGACAACGGATGTGTATAAAATTTAAATAATACCCAGTTATCATTTTGACAACATCCGTTGTAATTTTGACAACGCATTGTTGTAAATGCAACAACGCATTATTGCCATTTCCATTAAGCTACGTGTCATTTCGGCAATGCATCGTTGTGATTTCGTCAACGAATCGTTGTCATTTCAACAAAGCAACGTTCTGTTTGATAACATAGCGTTGTCATTTTGCTAACACATTATGATTTTTTTGTACCATTTGATATTTTTGTTGTTGGTTTGACAACTATCCGTACATAGTTTGACAACGGATGTTATTGAAAATTTGGTACCAGCAGTGTATAATTTTAAAACGTCTATTTTCCCTCTGTGTACAAGTGATACTATTGAATTTTCCTTCTTTGTTCGGGTATGTTCAGGGTTAACTTTGTTCATACCAGATTTACCACTATATGTTCTCTGTGAGTGTTTCGGTATACCGATTACGTCTATAGGTGGCCATCCCATCTGCGTGCTTGTAAACGAAATGTAAGCAAAGGGGCAGCATTGGTCAGAGATTGGATAGCTTGAGTACTTAAACGCTCAACAATTAATTGCTCATAAACTAAAAGAAATAAAAGCGATCGACCACATCCTGTGTTTGTATGTAGCCTTTCAATAAGTCCAGCCTATATTGATGACGCTGCTATAACCTCCTTTATATAAGTTCCAATTGAATTGATATCTAGCAATGTTTCCAAAGCCTTGATTGACGTAGTACCCACCATGGCATACTTATAACCAACCAACATGTCTTGATTTCTAAATCATAACTTTTAAAAAACAGAACTTGTTAATATTTACCTTTTAAAAATTTTCGATATATAACTTTGTAATACAAAAGATCATCATCTGTAAAAGAAAAAGAAATAAATAAAACTCAATTATTTAGAAACAAATACAAAAAAGATTATGTTATAAAAATATCACAAAAATAAATATATGTTATATTTAACATAAAATAAATATTTCTTAAGCAACCCTGAGCAAAAAAAGTATCATTAATAAAAATTTCGACTAAATTAAAATTGTACAATTGTATGTGGTTTCTCAAACATTTGGCTAAATCCTTAACACAAGCAAGGGCAGAGGCAAACGATATAAAACCCAAATGAAACAAAAGATAAATGTGAGTTTTGTAAAGGCATTTTTCGTAACAAGATTTTAGGTAAATGTATATATAAAATGAAATTAATAATGATTTTCAGTGTGTAACACTCGTTTTGCTATTTTTTTTTAGTATTTTATATTATTTCCATACTATACAAATACCCATACAACTAACTGTGTTCACATTTAAGTATAAAAGAAAATTGTATTAACAGGGGATGTACAAATAACAAGTTATAGAATTAAATAAATAAACTAAGCTTTTAATATTATTAAAAAAAATAAAAGTAATTTTTTTACAATTTTATAGTCGTTCCTTCTTTCTTTCATATTTTTATGTATATTGTCTGTATTACATTGGCCATCTCCTGTTTGTTACGAAAAGCAAAAAAAAAAAATAATAAAAATTCACTGTCATTTATATTGTTGGCACAAGAACAAATGCAATTAACATAGACATGTCTCTTCATATTCATGTAGAAGAAGATAAACGCAACAGCCATTATTATATAATTTTATTAAAATGAAGTTACAAGAATAATAGTCGTTGGTTGCCTTTCAACAATAATATTTTCGTAACAGTTAAGCTTTTATTTCACACACACACACACACACAGAACAGAAATCATTTAAAATTTAAATTTTTATCGGGTAGACGTTTATAAGCAGCAGGATTCATCCAAATACAGGGAAATTGGATAGCATACGAATTGAAGTCGAGAGACCTTGAAAGACGATTTCAAGGAAAGACGCTTTGAAGGAAAAAAATCAAAGTACTTCACGTGAACACCTGCCTTCATGGCCTTATTTCACGGTAGACCTTTTCATCCTCAATGTGCGTATTTTTGAAGCCGGTGGCAATTTCTTTACATGGTTCTTCCGCCCCATGTACAACAATTTTGCTCAAGAACTCGAGTTATCAAATCCGTTGCTTACTTTCCGAGATACAAAAACATAACTACCGATCACAGAGATGTAATCGGTAGACCGAAACACGAATCTATCAAATAAGCCGAGGACTTGTTCTTTCTCACAGTGAACGAATCTGGTATCAACACAGTAAACCCTAAACATACCCGGACAAGGAAGGAAAATTCAATGGTATCACTTGTATAAGATATGGATGTATGCATTACCATTCAACCCAGCACATTGAGAAAAACATCCAACACACTCACAGGTAAGGCCCGCATATCCTTATATCCATCCCGTATCATATACACTTGATACCAACTCATTTCCGACGCTTAGTCCTACAGTCACTCTTCTGTGAGGTATCTGTTGTCTCGGCAACATCATTAACCAACATTATCTTCAATCGATTTTGGGTTTAAACCACAGCCACTATGTGTAACTCGATGGGACCGCTTCAATAACGGGACAAGACAAAATCCGAAACTCTGCGCTGTGGGCTACCGGTTCCCGTTGTACCAGATGTCAAATCATTCCAAGGAAAGACCAAGGATACATTTGATCATCAACAGTTTATAGTCCCGGCTGGCTAGAGGTATTGGTAGAAGCTCTTTAACACCAAGATGGGGGAAGATTCATAAAGGCAGGATTTATTACTTTAACTCGGGTCGTATATTAAACCGGTCCAATAAGCCGAAACGGCATTAAAACCTCATATGCATATCACTAGAACAGTGCTCTGTATTTGGTGGTATCAAAAGGGTCCTATTTAGTATGAGCCGCTGAAATCTGGTAAGACCATCAGAGGGAACTTCTACTGAATGTAACTGATTCATTGCAGTGAGCAGTGAGCAGTGACTGAAAAATGCCAAGAATATGCTGCCAGACATGAAAGCGTAATACTCCATCTTGAAAAGAATCGGCCACATGTTGGAATTGTTAAAAGCTATTTAAAAAGAAGTGGTTTGTAAGTTTTGTCTTATCGGCCTTATTGACTTAATCTTTGGTGGTCCGTTTACTATTATTTGTTTCGATAGATGTAGAACGCTCTCTCTTGGTCTCGCTTCACTTCGGAACAGGGTATCCGAAATTGGCTTGATTCGCGGAATCCGTATGCAGATGGACAGATATGCAATGTTTAAAAATGTTTTAAACTAAAAATTGTATAGGGGTTGCAAGCATGAGACTAACTCCGTTGGCAGTTATCCTTCGAGGGCAGTGTATAATAGATGCGCAAACTACGAGACTAAATCTACCATTCAACGACTTCTGAATGAGTTGTTACACGTAGGATAAAGTGGAATATATTGAGGCTTTATTTGTCTTTGTGGCCTCCGGTAGGTTAGTGGTTAGTGTTCTAGTAGACCGGAGTTGGTAGGTTCGATTCCCACCTGAGGCACTGGTTAAAGAGCACACATCATTCCCGATAGAGGCCTAGGTGTATTTCTTCGGATTTGATGTATATAAACATCCTTCTTTCAAACTGACTAACTAACTAACTTGTATGTCTTTGTCCTACTCTGAAGGATATAATTTGTCATTCTGAAATTGCAGTTAATTGCGGTTCTCTCTCTCTAAAAGTGATGCAAACAAGATAAAGTTGTTTTTTTTTTGACATGTGAATTAATGTAGGGTCCGTTATAGGGTAACACAACGGGACCAGTATATTCACCCAAATAAATACATATAAGGTATCATAAGGTCTTCCTTAAACAATTAAGAAATTACTCTTAATAGTTTTAAAAATTTACATTGTATATTTTATAAGAAAATACTAAATAATTGGACACATATGTAAACTATTTCTAATCTTTACATATATATGTATATTTTTGTAAAACATGTTAAACCAAAAATACAAATTCAATCTCTCATGTAACCCCACTTTAGATAAATCAGTCAATTTGTTTTCTTGGTTTTGTTAACTAATAAACTCTTGTACGTATAGAAAATTTTAGATGTTTTATTAAAACTACTACGAGTACAAATATAAATAGTATTTTTTTTAATTTAGGTCTTGTAATGAAAATGAAAAAATTAGAAGAATAATAAATTATTTTTTCTTAAAAACATACTATTACACTTGGCTTCATTATTATTACCACTCACTTGCTAACACAACATAAACACACATTTATATACATACATACATATGTATGTATATAATATAAGATAGACTTTTTACCATATAAACACCCGCATAACAGCTTGAGATACAAGTAAAATAAACTAAAGTGGTTTAGAGTGTAAAGTAATGTAAAAAAATTATTATAATAGGTATATGAGCAAACTTCCCCATCTCCCTCCCCTAGTACTGTGAAACACTGATATTTTACTTTAGGGGGAGTACATATTAAGCCACGTAAACAATTGTTATTAAAAAAATATTTTAATCAAAATTTAGTTATTTAAAATTCATTCTAAAATAAAGTTTTCGTTTTGTTTATATGGGGGGAATGCATGGAAAAACTGCTTATTGGGTTACTTACTATTCCTTTATACACTGATTTATTCAATGTTGTCGTGGTAGTAATAATACTACTAGTAGTACCCTTACTTTACAACATTTACTATAGACACACACACATACATGCATAAGTATAAATGCATGGCATGTATGTGAAGGTATGTAAATGTGAAGCCATGCAATTGTAGTAGCTGTGGTAACTTTGGTATTTTCAATCCAAAAGTGTTGTGTTATACATTATGGCTATATTGTACTTTGCCAGCTGCTTATCTGCATTTTAATTTTAAACGAATTTTGTGTAAAAATACAAAAACACCAAAAACACACACACACACAAAAAAAAAAGAACAAAAAGACGAAGAAGCAAAGAATGAAAAAACACACACAACATACAATTTTCTCTAGAGATTCTGATTTGTATAGTAAGTAGTTGCAACAAGAGTTACATACAGTTGCATGCACATCCTTAAATTCACTAGCGCCAGTTTACTTTTTGGAAAAACATGTAAGTTTCTATGTATGAGTGTACGAATTTTACTACAAATATTTCTATATGTACATATGTATGTATATGTGTAATATAAACAGTTTTTGTTGTTATTGTTGATTTTATGTCAGTTTTGCCTTAAGGGTGTGGCATTAAACTAAATTTTACTTTATGCCAAAAAAAGGCAAAATTAAAAAAAAAGTAATTTAAACAACGAAATGGAAATTAAACAAGTTTAAGTATTAAATTTGGCTAAAACGAATTTTGTATGCCCTTTATTTTGAACTACATTTACATTTGTATGTCCATATATACATACATATGTATGTTTGTTTAGATATATGGGTCAAACTTTTATGTTGCAGAATAATTTCATAAAGTGAATTAACAAATAAAATATTACTTATTTTTTACTTTATTTATGTGAATCAATAAATTTTATAAAACTTTTTATTAGTACATAAGGATTAAGTTGTGACGATCGTTATTAGTTTGGAAGTAATAATGTATTGTATTCGTAACTTTAATTATAATTAAAATATGAGTTTTATATTTGTGTTCCTTCGAGCCCAAACTGAACCTAATCATAATATAATAAAATAGAAATCTAAATGAAATTTAAAATTTATGATAATATTTTTATTAAGATTGATCTTAAAATGCAGGATCTTTAAATATGTGGCCAAGCGCTGTGAAGATGGAATATTAAGGTAATGTCTTGCCGCATATTGCCGCCAAATGAACCAGTTGCATTCGGTACAGGTTCCCTGTGATATTCTGAAATGCTCACAATATCTACAATCCTCTGGTCTTCACCAAATACAAGACATTACAATAGCGCGATGGATATTTGGCTTTGATATCGATTCGGCTGGT